GCAACATCGCGGCAATTGCCCAATGGCCCGTCCATCTCGCAGCCCGCGCCATGGCGAGACGCCTTGGATCCCCGACCGCGGCGGCGGCATGGGCGGAGGGGCAGCCGCGTCGATTGAGGATAATTCCATTGACCAATACTGCAGCTCAAGAAGCAGAAGGAGCTTCGGAAGAACTGGGCGACAATCATACCCTCAAGGTCTACAGCGCGGACTGGCATCGCCGACGTCCGGAGGGGGATCCCGTTTAGCGAGGGAAGCGATGGCAGCGTTCTTTGTCCTCCCCGCCAGCGCGAGTTGAATGGCGGGTCGGATCTTTGGCGGCTCTAGGGCCGAGGCCCCTGTATCCTTTCCAGCATCAACCCGGGCAGCGGGCAAGAAGATGGAAGGGAATGGGGGGGCGGGGGGGGGGGCGGCCCCTCGCGCCGACCTCGCTCGCCGAGCCGCCGGGCGGGCGCGCCCGGGGCGAAGGCCGCCTTGGCAGCGAAGCGGGCGGGCGCGCCCAGGAAGTCCAGGAGACAGCTGTTCCTAGGCAAAAGTTGCGCCCAGGCCACTGGGTGGACCTGGGGGGGGGGGGCCGATTACGCGCAGGACAAGAGAAGGGCAATGGCCAGGGCAGGCGCGGCCCTGCGGAGCACGAGTTCAAGACTGGGCCACTAACGCCGACGCAACTCCAGACTAGTTTGGAAATAGGTGGTCCGGTCATAAAGGCTACCCTCACACTTCACCATAGACGCCGAGTCGGTCTCCGAGCCCCCATCAAGTAAGAACTTCCAGGAGACCGACCGACTATGCCCTGCTAGGGCATCTCAGTTGGACACGACAGATGATGGGTCGAGGTGTCGTTCATGACGCGCAGCGACGTGACGCGCGAGATGCGACAGCCGATGGTCATGCCAACGGCTGCAATGGTCGTAAGCTACTACTGCAAGTCGTGGAAGGTGAACAGCCATCCGAATATGAGCTCACTTAGTATACGCCCTGTCGAGGCAACCAAGCAGCATCAACATTGGGGCGCCCTACTCCGGGCTAGCGGATACGGTCTATTGTTGGCCACGTCAGCCGACGCATGCTTGGACACGAGCCGCATGCGCGCATCAGCCCAGACACGGGCCACCGTGTTTGATTCTTGGCAGCTCGGTGAGACATCTTCTTTTTTGCAAGGTTTGACGTCTGGCGGTCTGGTTAGACGTCGTCGCCTTGAATCTATGATGGTAATCACGTGGTCTTGCCCGTGATTTACCCATGATGACCAGTGGTCGGCCATGTGGTCCAGCCAATGACAGACCATAATTTTCCGCGCTGTTCCTCGCCTGTCTTGACTTCTTGCGCTGCGGGGGAAGTAAGAAGGTTCGCTTCCCACCTTAGTTCGGCGATGTAATTTAGGGTTGGGCCTGACGTTCCGCCCCCCCTCCACCCCTCTTCGAACGGGCTCAAGGAGGGGATCATATAAAGCGCGTCGTGGTCCATGCCCGGCGCTGCCTTGGCTCAAGGTAGCACTACCCGATTTGCTTGCCTTGCGCCTGCGAGGCACAGTCGAGCTTGAGTGTCGGGTAAAGGCCACATGCGCCGATAGTTCACCATCCCATCCCACGTAATATACATGTCCTCTCGTCCTGCTTGCCATCAAGGGATAAACTACAGGATACCCCGATGCCTCTACGACGTAATCCTAAACCGCGCGGTTCCATCTTACCACATCATGGAGCCCCTGACCCTCGCTGTTCATTCACTCGGCTATGTTTGGGCCGTCCTGGGAGCGTCTTGGTCTGACTTGGGGCGATTTCGGGGGGCCCTTGGGCCGTCATGGGCGGTCCGAAGTCCGAAAAGGCGGTGACGCCAACATCTTTCCACAACCGAAAGAGAATTCAAGTCATTGAATTTCTGCGGGCCCTCTTGGACTTGCCGGGGGCATCTTATGGTTGTCTTGAAGCTTTTGAGGCCGGCCATCTGTTGATCCCGAGTTTTGGGCCTTCTTGGAGCTTCCTTGGGGTCCTCTGGGGCGTTTTGAGGCGATTGTGACGGCCCCGACGACCGCCGCCGCGAGTTCTGACACCCGTGGCCCCAATTGGCCGCGGCCCCCCCCAGGGGCCGCCACACGCGCGCGTTTGTTGTTGCGTATGTGTATGTATATATATATATATATATATATATATATAATGTACATTTGTTTCCAGAGGTTTTCACACGCCAAGTGCCCGTTGGACCACCGAATTATCTACGCATACGACTAATCACCGCCGTTGCCCTCGATGTTTTGGATCTGGTCGCACGGCAGGCTGATTTTCTTTGATGTATAGTGTCAGTTCGGATTACTGGCATTGGGCGTCCATGTTGCAGCTGTCAGAGTTCTCTGTCTACGCATCGTTGTGGGGAAACGAAAACTGTGCAAAGACGAAAGAGAACATGATCTTCAGTGTCTGACGTTTGAAGCAAAGTTCAGAGCAATCCGCTCGAATTGCTAATTCATTCCCTCCAGTATACTTGGACCCGGCCTCGCATTATCAATCCACCTGTAATATTTGTAATGTAAGTGTGTGTGTGTGTGTATTCTGGATTCGGGTCGCAATATCGTGTGAGCGTTGTCAGGGCGAGAATGGTACCCCAGCGCCAACAAGCATACATTATTGTTTACGTCCTCATTGTGTAAACCACATGCGGGTTGCCAGCAGCATTCGTTTGGCTTCATGTGCTGTCATCCCTTTTGGTTCAACATGGCATATCATATATCTGCGTGTTTCGGCCGCATTCGGTTCGTCCTCTCAACCTATGGTATCCCAGCGGGGGATATACAGGCTGCCCAGAACGAAACGGTTCGCTGGGGCCAGGAAGTGGCGCCGGTCGGAGGATCGGCAAGACAAGCTGAGGATGTCAAGACACTTGCTCCGCGCGAGACGCACGTCCCAGAGTGATTGCGGATGAGACAGCGAAAGACACCTGCATACAATGAGAACTACGTCGAAAGTGTTCGTCGCATCCCCTTGTTTTAACGTAAGTTGGCTCAACAATGGACTGCCATGTCCCGCAGTAGTGTGCCTGAGCGACAACGACGTTCATGTAGTTTCGCGATCTCGCCGTACACACCACCCGGGCACGACAAATCGAACGTCTGTTTTGGCCCCGAGGGGAGAAAGCAATTTGAATAATTGTCACGCTTCAGCACAGCCTTATTGTTTGTGCTTGTGCGTGTACCCTATCGCTCCTCTTCCTCCCTTCACTTGTCCCTATTCCGGCCCCAGCACTAACAGACCGGGCGTGAACATTCTTCCCCAGGAGGAGCACTTCCTTGTCATCCCTTCTATCGTATGGACCTTGCCCCCTTTCCCCTTCCACAGGCTATTATCCCCCTTTGATTTGCCTTCAGCGCTCAGTGTGTTCGCGTTGCGGGGGTGGGCTTCATTTCACATGGCGAATTCTGCACCGTCTGTTGATGAATCAGCCTTGTCCCCCTGCGTCTCACGTACTGCAGCGCAGCCTTGGGGTACACCTCAGGCGATGCTTAAGAAGACTTAAGTTTTCGGCCAGAGTCTCGATGATTCTTAACGTTTCAATGTAAAGCTTACGATTTTTTAATGGGCATTTCGGGTTTTTATTCAAGTTCCGAGACTATGAATTTCTTAACCCATGATTTCTTAAGCATTTCGCAGGGTGTACACGCTGATGCCATCTTACCAGGCGGCCCGTGGTGGACCACCCCGTGGCGGCCACGGCTGGGTTTGGTCCCCCTTCTGTTTTGGTGCACTAGACGACCTACGCGCCGAATGCATTCGAGGATGATTCCGCCACCTGGCCCCCCCCGACCTGCTATCCTTGTCAGAGATCGATTCCGAGTCTTCGAGCACGGGTTTCGTAACGGGCATCGCAGGCCATCATGGCGCGAGATGGCAAGTTTCGATTTGGCTGCTATGGACCCTCATAGCCGCAGTTCCTCGAGGACTCGTTGCTAGTAGGGACTTGCGGAAGCGGATATGTGTGGTGTAAGTGATGTTTTTATCCACCATGCTTGGCCATGTTTCACCAATGTTAGGAGACCTTTGACGAGAGTCGATGCACTTCGGCACCTCGCCCGAACGGCGGCGAACGTGGGGGATGCACCGAAGGATGGCACGTACTATGCGGTTGTCCAGTGTCACCTTGCCTTAGAGGTGGCTACATTCAGGTTGGGGAGAGGTGATGCCCTTCAGAGACATGAACTGATACGGCATGTCGCATATCCATCTCCCGACTCTTGCTCTTTGACTTTTGGTTTCGGCCTTTTGTCAGGCGGGATTCGGGGCGGGTATGCGTGAGTGTATGTGTATGGTTGTGTATCCATCGCCATTTCGGGTCAGGCAGTGACCGATTAGGCTTGAGGACTTGCCCCATGGAGGAACACCGTTGCATCGTGCATATATTTGCACAGATACACATATATGTGTACATGTGTAAATAGGTAGATACAGATACTTGTATCCTGCCTCGGGTGGGTTAGACCCCGTGATCCTTTCCTCTTTTCCACACGTCATTTCCATATCTCACAATCTCACCAGGGCGCACGCCACGCGCTTGATTTCGGGAGCATTGTTTGATTCAGGTGTCCTCATTCAATAGTTCAGGACCCCTCTGAAGGTCCTCTTGGGTCTCGTGTGGGCCCGCTTGCCCTCTTGGACCCAGTTGGGCCCTCTTGGGACCACCTAGTGCTCGAGCTCATCCAGGAGCCGCCTCAGCATTCTTCGGGCCGTCCTCGGGCAACGCTTTGGGATTCGAGCGGCCGAAAATAGTCGGATGCATCACGTCACATTGATGTATTGAGCACTTGATGCCTTTCCGTAAACGTCTCTGCGTTTTGAGATTTGTTGGGAGCCTCAGGGGGGGCTAGGCGGCAAGGGGCCCAGAGGCTAGGTGTGCTCATTCGGACAAGTTTGCCTCCCAGGAAGAAGAATTGGGGGGCATGCGCGGCGTCTTGGACGCCATGTCGGGCATCTTTTGCCGCCCTCCAGCCTCAGTCCGCCTCCCGGCTCCAGGAAGAGCTGGAAGAGGAAGAAGACGAAGAGGAGGAAGAGGACGAAGAAGAGGAGGACGACGAAGACGGCGAAGCCGAGGAGCCGCCTTGCCTTCTGTCTTTTGCGTGTTAGGGGGGTGCAAAGATCAGGCCAGCGCTGTGATGAGAGGCAGCAGAGGCAGGGTCCAGCTGAGACGGGGTCCTTCTGCGTGTGAGACCGCCTTCTCCTGCCTCCCTCATTGGCCCTGCTGCCCCTCCTCCCAAACCCTGCCTTCTCCACCCCGTCGCGCTGCTCACTGCCAACACAGTCGGACTCGATTGGACAGGACACGCGAGAGGACACAAGACCCTTCCGAGGGCCACACTGCCACAGGAGTGCAGGAAGCATGGATCGCGAGAGACAGGACACAAGGGTACCCTTGATCTGGCAGGGTCCTTAGTGGGCCCTGGAAACGACAGGGCCGGTTTTTTATCGGTTCCGTTTTGCTGTTTTTTTACCGGTTCCGACGCCGTTTTTTTGCCAGTTCCGTCGCCGTTCTTTTACGGGTTCCCGCTCCGGTTCCAACCTTGAAGCCGTTTTTGTTGCCGTTTCCGGTCGCCGTTTTTTTGCCGTTTGCATTTTCAAGGGACATGTTCTCGGAAACGGTGAAAAAACGGCCTTGCCGTTTCCGGGGCCCACTAAGCCCCAGGGTGTTTGGGGGCGAGAGTTTGGCTTCGCTCGAACGTGTGCATTTTTTCTCGTCGAGGACCATCGAGGAGCATGTTGCTCACCTTGGAGAAAAACATACACACACGAGACCGAAAAATGCACAGGGAATGGACGTCCGAGCGTTGGCGAGAGAGGGGGGGGGGAGCGGCTGCGGGAAGGAAGGGCGACAGTGGAGGGGGGAGGACGGGATGGGGCGGAGAGCGGGTGCGGGAGTCCAGGCCTCCCGGCTGGGGCCCGAGCAGGTGAGGTCAGAGGATTGCGCCGCGCCTCCGATGCGTCGGTGATGCGGCTCGATGTGGAGCCCGATGTTCTCCACGCCGAAGGTCAGAGGATTGCGCCGCGTCTCCGATGCGTCGGTGATGCGGCTCGATGTGGAGCCCGATGTTCTCCACGCCGAAGGTCAGAGGATTGCGCCGCGTCTCCGATGCGTCGGTGATGCGGCTCGATGTGGAGCCCGATGTTCTCCACGCCGAAGGTCAGAGGATTGCGCCGCGTCTCCGATGCGTCGGTGATGCGGCTCGATGTGGAGCCCGATGTTCTCCACGCCGAGGTCGCCGATGCATCGCCGACGTCGCCGATGCACCCGATGCATCACGGATGCATCGGCGATGCATCCGCAATGCGGCGCGATCTACCGGCGCCATCTTCTCGGACCCCATCAAGGAGGCTTTTGGGAAGGAAGGGGGGCATGGGGGGAGTGAGCAGGCGAGGCGTGGCGAGGCAGGGAGGGAGGGAGCAACGCGGAGCGGGCCGGGACGGCTATACATGGGAAGTTCGAATTTGTTGTTCTTCCCCTTCGCATCCTCCTCATCCTCTTCTCGGCCCTCCTCCAACTCCTCCGTATCCTCCAACTCTTCCTCCTCGGAGTTTCCGTTGTTTTTTGGCTTACTCCGTATTCGCTCAGGGTGGTCTGCGCGACCCGCTCGGCCTGGCGCTCCCCCCCGCCCGCTCTTCGAGTCTTCCTGCTCCCGCCTCTCTGCGGCCCGCCGGGGACGCCTTTCTCCCTGCCGTCCCGTTCTCCCGCCATGGCTGGGGTGACGGCGCCAGCGGGTGCGATCTCAGTGTCCAGCCAATATTTCTCCTCCGCCCACCGGCCCGCATGTACTTCCTGGGGGCATCCACGTGCTTTCGACCCCGACTGCGAGCCTCCAGCATATCGTTTGGAATGGGGCGTGGCTGCACCACTTACACAGTTGAGTTTGACTTGTTCAGGAGCCATGTGTTGACGTTCGGTATTAGTTCGCTCGCGTGCAGGATGAATTCGCGAGGATCGCAGTGCGTCAGGAAGAGCGTTTCGCAGAGATCAAGCGTATTCCAGTCCAGGCGATCCACCATGTAGTGATTGACAGATGCTAAACTCGCGTCCGCATACGAGACTATCAAGTCGCAGTTGAATGACTGAGGGGCGGTGTTATCGTCAGGTTCATCGACTCGCGCCGATTCGGAGTCCGAGGTCGCGGGAAGTGGTGAAGAAGGGGCTCGTCATGAGATTCTGAAAGCTTCAGGACCAGACCAGGCCAGCGCCACTCGTCTCATCTTTCTCGAACTTGAAAAGCCATGCGTCGGGGCCTCGCTTAAGTTCGCAGTCCAACCCATCATTGCGCAGTGCAGTTCCATAAGGGAAGAGCCGATCGCGTGCGCACGCTCGGCGACTAGAAAGATGATCCTTGACTTCCTCTCTGCCCTCGCGCGTTCCACACTCGCCGGGAAGAGCCAGAACATCGCGCAGACTGCGTGCCATAACCCGATCGATTGTCTTGGCGGGGGGCTTCGTATTCGTCGTGCCCCGTCATGGGACCCCGAGAGTCGAAAACGAAAAGGTAAAACTCAAAGGCGTCAAGGAATAAGATTTTGTGTGGGGGCGGGGGGCGTCTAGCAGCACTTTGGAGTGTGTTCCTGGGGCCCTAAGGGGCCGAATTGGGGGCCTCTTGGGCGTTCTTGGGTCATTATTGGCCCGCCTCGGGGCCGCGTGGAGCCATCTGGAGGCCATCATGAACCGTCTTGAGGCCTTCTTGGGCCCCCAGGAGGCCCAACAGGCAAATATATATATATATATATATATATATATATATATATATATATATATATATATGTGTTCCATGCGTTCGGGTGCGTTCGCAGGGCTCCAGAAAAGGAGGCTGCCACTTTTGCATGGACGTGTGGCGCGATTCCAAGGGGGGGGACATGATCAATTTGCGGGTACATTTGGCGCATTCCATTGCAGCGGGAAGAGGACGACGAGGGAGGATAACTAGGTGGGAGGAGAAGGATATGCGTCGTGGCACGGTGGCCCTTGCTGGCCACCGCGCGCGAAGCCTCGAGCGCGACCGCAAGTGGCCCGCAGTGGCCCAGCGTGGCCCGCGCCCACCCTCGCGCGCAACGGGGGGCACCCAGAAGCTGCCCCTGGCCGCCGCAACGTCGCCCCCAAAAATCCAAAGGAAAAGCGAATCCAACAACCTCACGCAATTCTTGACGCTTCGCGTATCCCCGCCAGCCCATCCAGAAACGATGTCCAGACAAGTTCAAGAGACCAGGGCAGTGGGGGAGCAACGAGAGGGACAGCCGATCCGTGCAAAGGATGAGGCGGAAGAGGGGGCCAGATGGATATATGAGGGGGTGGCGGGGAACCGAGCAAAGGAGGGATGAGGATAATGATGACGCTGGGTGGATGGTTGAATGCCGTTCGGATGCCTCTTGGAAGCCTTTTGGAAGCCTCTTCGGGCGTCTTGGGGGTCTCTTGGCGGTCAATGGGGGCTCTTGGGCGTCTTGGGTGCTTCGGGGGGGCCTCTTGAGGCCACTTGGGATCCTCTTGGGGGGCTCTTGGGGGCCTGTTGGAGGCCTGTTGGGGCCTCTTGGGGGTCTCTTGGAGCTTCATGGCGGCCTCTTGGAGCCTTTTGGAGGCCTCTTGGAACCATCCTGGGGGCCTCTTGGGGTTTTTTGGGGGCCTCGTGGCGGCCTTTTGGGGCCTCTTGGAGGCCTCTTGGAAGCCTCTTGGGGCCTCCTGGGCGCCCTTTGGGGCCATCTTGGAAGAGATCGATCAAAGAAAAGGGTGGAGTTAATTAACCTTGCCCCCCCAAGAGGCCAAAACCCGAGTAAAACCGATGATTGTGGCTTCCTCGCCGAGGCCGTTTTGGACGTTCCAACTACCAGCGAAACCCCCCGTCCAGGTCCAGGGGAGGGGGTTAGGGGGAGGGGTAAACCCCTCCCCGAAGGGGAAGAAGGAGGGGTGGAAGAGGAAATTCCCTAAACCACCTACGCCCAGAGGGCTGGTGGGATTTCTCATCACATGTGTCGCCCAATATTTGTCTGCACGCTGTTGTTTGACAGTTTAATAATTTGATGAGTCTTTGGCTTTGGTTTTCCGTTGGCGTTCCCGGGCGGTCCGCGGGGGCGGGCCCGCGCGCGCCTCTTCCGGCGGGCTCGCCCGGGCACCCTGCCAGCACCTTGCGGCGACCAGGCAGAGCCAGGGGACACCGCCAGAGCCATTGACAGGCCCCCCACAGGTCGCCAGCAGCTGGCCAGGCCTCTGCGGCCCGACCCAGACTGCCCCTGCCTGCTGAGGCCTCCTCGGGCTTCCTACGATTTCCCAGGGCCTCCTGGAGCTTCCCGAAGCCCCCCGAGGCCCCCTTGAGTTTTTCGGGGCCTCCTGGGGCCTCCTGGTGCTTCCCGTGGTTTCCTGGGGCCTCTTGGGGCCTCCTGGCCTTCCTGCGGCACCGCGGTGCTTTCTGGTGCCTCATGATGTTTCCTGCGGCCTCTCGGGGCCTCCTGGGATCTCCTGGTGCTCCCCGGAGCCTCTCGGAGTTTCTTGGGGCCTTGTGAGGTTTCCTGGGGCCATCTGGCGTTTTTTTCCGCTCCGAGGCGCGATTGGCTGCGCGCGGCGGGCGATGCGACTGCGAACGACGGCATGGCCAGCAGCCGCCGTTGCCGTTGTCTCCGTGCCCCGGGCGCGCCGCGCGCGCAAGACGCGCCGCGCGCGCCAGGTGCGCTGGGCACCTTTGCGGCCCTTGCGTTCCAGGCGCGCCAAATGCGCCAGGTCCGCCACGTGCTCTGCGTGCGCCAAGGGCGCCGCAATCCCTGTCGAAAGCCAACGCGCAATCGCGGCGGCGGATTTGGATCGCGGCCTTCCAGGCGAAGCATTCTCGGCACAAAGGGAATCGTTTTGTTGGCAGCGGGCCGCGCGACCCTGCGAAATAAGTTTGTTGGGCGAAACCGTTCTGCGCGCTGGCCAGAGCTGGGCAACTTCCTGGACGGAGTGTCTGGAGGGCGTCGCCGCCAGCGGCGAGCACTGGCCCCGGCTGGCCCGGCGCCGCGCTCGACTGCTCTTCGCGCGGGTTCAGCCCCGAGACAAGACGAAGGAGATCTGGGCCCGTCTCCAGTTCAGGGGGCAGGGGCGCATCGACGAGCTCGTGGAGTCAAACGGGCGCGCGCTGCCGAAGTGGAGCGAACCGCGCCAGGACGACACCATCGCCTCCCAGTTGGCCAGGAGGAGTAGCGCCAGGGGCGCCAAGCAGGAAAATGCATTTGGAAGGGGCGATTCCGCGAGGCTTACGATGGCCTTCTCGACCAGAGTCAGGAGGAAAAGAAACACACAGACACAATTAATCCTCGATTCCCCAGAAAATATGGGAAAATATAGGAAGTGGGGGGGAAGACAGAAACCCAGAAAATATGGGAAAATATGGGGAATATGTTTATTTGTGTGTATTTATTTGTGTGTCCTGGGGCCCCTTCACAGAGGGCGGGTCGAGGCGACCAGACGACAAGGCGCCACGGGCAGGCGCGCTCGCCCCTCGGCCCGCGAGGCCGCCACCCTCTGACGAGGAGCAGGCCGCGGAGCAGGCTTTCGCCCTAGCGAACCTCAGGAGGGAAAGAAACACACAGACACAATTAATCGGCGATTCCCAGAAAATGTGGGAAAATGTGGGAAGTAGGGGTGAAGACAGAAACCCAGAAAATATGGTTAAATATGGGGGATATTTTTATTTGTGTGTATTTATTTGTGTGTCCCAGTTCCCCTTCAGAACCACAGCCACGGCGCCTCCGACGCCTCCGCGTGCAAGCGCCTGGCGGTCCAGCGGGAGGAGGGCCAAATTCCGGCGATGCTGATCCGTGCCTTTCGGGTCGGGCGAAAGGGGGGGATTGGGAAAGGGGGGGTTACGAAATCTGCTGCATGCAGCTGGTTTCGGCCTCACCGAGGGGCCCATTCCTCGATACATGGCCGCTTCTGGCGCCGGGAGGCGCCGGGAAAATCAGCTACGTGAGCTGATTCTCAAACCCCCCCTTTGCTATCCCCCCCTTTCGCCCGACCCGAACTTCCCAGCGTTGACAGCCCCGGGGTCGATTGGGGAGCGCGCGGAGCACCTGCAGCACCGCTTGCCCACCGGCACGCGCTGGATCTCGAGCGCGGCGCTAGTTTTCACGGGGAGGGGGGCCGGCGAGCATGACAGAGACCGGCTGTTCTCAGTCGTTCCGAGCGCCAGTTGAGGGCCTTTTAGGGTCAATTGTCGGGGGAGCGTAAGACCCGGGTTTGCCGGGACTCGGGTTCGCCATCGTTTTTTGACGACCGCGACTCGGATTTTGACGAGGAGGAGTTTTGTGGGATGTCTGCAGCGGGAGGCCTCGTCAAAATGCAGGCTCGGCCTCGTCATTTTTTTGACGACCTCGTCGGGGATTTCCGAGTCCCCCGTACCCAGGTCTTACGTCTCCCCGAAATTGGTCAGGATGTGCGTGAGGAGTGTTCTGACCTGGAGCTCCCTGGAGACGCGCTGAGTGGCCAGCTAAGCGCTCCTGGTGGGCCCGGAGTTTTCGTAGATTGTTGTGTGATGTCCTCGGGGACGCCGCGGGGCTTGTGGGGCTAACGTGGGGCTCCGCGTAGCTGGGGGTGAGGGCTAGTACCAACGCGAACACCAGCCGCTAACAGCCAGGGCTGCATCAGCAACAGCAGCCGCGGCAACCGCACGGCCAACACGCCCATCACCAGCGTAGGTGGTGGCATGGCCAGCACCAGCGTCATGGAAAGCCACAATACCAGGAGAGCCATCACACGGCCGAGCACCATCACTCATTAGCATCGGGACCACCAGCATAACTACCAGCGCGGCAGTCAGCATGATAGTGAGGTTCAGCAGATGACACGTAACAGGCTCTAGCAGTTGTGCCAGCAATCATACAACTACAACGACTGCTGATGTAGCGTATGTCCCAAGTGTCCCTAGGCAGAATAAGGCACTGTATCATAATAGCGTTGGACGACTTGGAATACTTGTAAGTTGCACCAGAAGGGCGCCTAGCTTCCATCCTGCAGCTCAGATAGCCCCGCGCGGCGCTTGCAGACATACACATGCATGTGCATATACACGCATACATATAGGTATGCATGTGTGTAAATACATATGTGTGTACATATGTACATATAGTCATGTACAGTCATGTAGATGCGTATGCATGTATGTTTGTATGCGCGTGTGTACGTATGACGGTATGTAGGTATGGTGTACGTGTATATGCTTGTATTGATTTGTGTACATCTAGAGATGGGTTACGTACTGTTATTGTTGCTGCAACGTCATACTAATCTTCAGTATCTTCGGCCTATCGCGTCCCCTTCTACTCATCTCTAATGCCCCCTCGCTCTTTCTCCGTTCTCATTATCCTTCCTCCGACCTCCTCATTGTCAGCCTATTCCCTCGCCCCTCCGTCATCCCTCTCCTTCTCCTTTCCCCCCTCTCCTCGGCGATCGGAAACACCAGACACAGTGCGATGCCACACGCAGCAGCGCGAAGGACGAACAGAACAGCATGGAGGAGTTCCGAGTCCGACTCCCCAACGCCACCGCCGTTCGGGCAGTCATCGTCGGCGGCGGCGGCGGCGTCGGCGTCGGCGTCGGCGTCGTCGTCGTCGTCGTCGTCGTCGTCGTCGTCGTCGTCACCCTCCTCATCCCCAGCGCGCTGCCCCGACTCGCTCCTCCCGCTGCCTCTCGGCCCCCCCCCACTCGGAGGTAGGTCCCACTCGGAGGACCTCCCACGCAGAGGGAAGGTCCTCCTCACTCCTCGTCACCCTCCTCTTCCTCCTCCTCCTCCGCCTCCTCCTGCTGCCTCTTCCTCCTGCTGCCCCTCGCCCCCCCCACCCCCCTTGGGCCCCTGCCCGCGCGCAGCCGTGCGCGCGCCTCCAGGAGGACGGCGCCCCGCGGCTCCGCGCGGGCACCGACTCGGAGCCGCCGGCCTCGCGCGGGGGAGGAGGAGGAGTGAGGAGGAGGAGGAGGAGGAGGAGGAGTGAGGAGGAGGAGGAGGAGGAGGAGGAGGAGGAGGAGGAGGAGGAGGAGGAGGAGGCGGAGGCGGAGGCGGAGGCGGAGGAGGAGGAGAGACTGGAGACTGGGGAGGGGAGAGGGGAGGGGAGAGGGGCAAGCTGGGTGCGCTCGCGTCATATCTGACGTCCTGCCCCTACCTCGCATCCCTTACCATGGTGTAGATCTCTTCTTTATTCGCGCAATCGGATGTCGCTACATGGCATAGCATTACATGGGATAGCATGGTGTTGAGCATCAACGCGTAGCATGACATAGCATGGCGTGGCGACGCCCCAAAGTGAAGGGGGGCTTCTGCGGTGCAAATGATTAACGAAGCGACACCGAACATGTAATCACTTCCGATGTTTTTTCCAGGGGAGGGCATTTGGAAGGACCGACAACCATGCCGTGGCATGGCGCTGGAAGTAATGACGCCAGCGCTGGAGCGGGTGCACGATTGGGGACGAGGGAAGCGCGGAAATGAGGCCAGCGCCCTAGCGGGAGCACGATTCGGAACGAGCGGTAGCCCGAAAATGAGGCCAACGTTTCAGCGAGAACAGCATTTGGACAAACAATGAGCGCGGAAACGCGGACATGAGGACGCGTAGCCTGACATAGCATGGCGTAGTAGGCTTCTGCGGCCCCCCCTAAAAAAACGAATCAACACCAAATGTGTAATCAGTTCCGATCGTTTTTCGGGGGGATGCATTTTGTAGATTTTGGGGCCTACTTGGAAGGTCCGAAATCCATGCCGTGGTGTGGCGCTGGAAATAATGACGCCAGCGCTGCAGCAGGAGCACGATTCGGAAAGAGCGGAAGCGCGGAAATGAGGCCAGCGCTGCAGCGGGACCACGATTCGGAACGAGCGGTAGCCCGAAAATGAGGCCAACGTCTCAGCGAGAGCAACATGTTGAAAATCCCACCGAAAACCAAACTCCGGGGAATCCTGTGTGTCAAAATCAAGTGCGCGGAGGGGTGCCGAACATTTCCCGGACGGCACCAGGGCAGAGATGAGAGTAGTGAGAGAGAGAGAGAGAGTGAGTGCTGGGCGAGGGGGAGGTCAGGACGGAGGAGGGGGGAGGGAGGAGGGTGAGGAGGTGCAGGACGGAGCAGGCAATGGGGAGGAGAGAGGGGTGGCAGCAGGAGGGAGAACCGAGGGGGAGTGGGGGGGGGATGGCAGCCGCACCCCCCGTCTCCAGCCCTGTCCGAGGACTGGGAGGAGGATCAGGGCGAGCCCGAGGAGGAGCTCGACGAGGACG